GCAATCTCATTTCAGCAGTGAAGGGAAACCTAGAAAATAGGAGGAGTAGAATATTTGGTCCTTCAAGCCTGTGTGACCATTCAATTTGATCATGACTAATCATCAAACTTGGTTCCCAGATCCTCACCTTCTCCCCATACCCTTTCATCCCTTTAACTCTAAGGACAATATCTAAGCACTTGAAAATATTCACTGTATTAGCCTCAACCACTTTCTCTGGAGGAGAATTCCACAGGCTCACAGCTCTCTAAGTGAAGAACTTTCTCCTCATCTCAATTTTAAATGGCCTTCTCTGTATTGCTGTATCCTGTTTCTGGATTCTCCGGTCATTGGGAACATCCTTCCTTATTTACTCTGACTAGTCCTTTTAGAATTCGATAGGTTTCTCATTCTTTTCAACTCCGGTGAATACAATCCTAAGTGACTCAGTTTTTCCTCAGAACATCATTCCTGCCATCTCAGGAATAAATTCGGTAAATCTTCTCTGTACTGCCTCCAAAGCAGAATATCTTTCCTCCGATAAAGAGAACAAAAGTGCACACAATACTCTGGGTGTGGTTTCGCCAAGGCCCTGTACAATTGCAGCAAGATATCCCTGCTCCTGTACTTGAATCCTCTCATGATAAAGGCCAACATATCATTTTTCTTCTTCACTGCCTGCTGCACTTGCACGCATTCTTTTGTACAAGGACACCCAGGTCTCATAGTGTCTCTCCCCTTCTGAATCTATTGCCATTCAGATAATAATCTGTCTTCCTGATTTTGCTATCAAAGTGGATAACCTCCCATTTATCCATATTATAATTCAACCGCTATGTATTTGCCCATTCACTCAATTCGTCCAAATTACACTGAAGCATCTCTGCATCTTTCTCACAGTTCACCCTCCCAGCCCAGCTTGCAGGCTTGGAGGTACTACATTTTGTTCAGTCATTTAAGTTAATATGTATTGTGAATGGCTGTGTCCCAAGCACTGATCCCTGTGGTACCCAACTAGTCACTGGCTGCCAATTGGAAAATGAGGCGTTCATTCTTCATTTTAGTTTTCTGTCTGCCAACTGGTTCTTTATCCTTGTCAGTACACTACCGCCAATCCCATACGCTTTAATTTTATATGCTAATCTCTTACGTGGGAACGACTAGATAATATATTTTATGCTGATTGAGGGACAAATATTGATCAAGACATTGACAGTTTGCCAGCTTTTGAATAGTAGCAGTTGCCTAAGCAGGAAGACTAGGCCTTGGTATAATGCCTGATCTGAAAATCATTATGGCACTCAGTCAGTACTGCACTGAAATATCACCATGTGTTGTGGGCTCAGTTTCTGGATTGAAACTTGAAACTTACCCTAATGACTCAGACCCAATGCTGAAATACTTGCTGGCATAAAAGGGAAGAATTCTTTTGTTTCTAATGCGTCTTTGAATGAATCTGCCTTGTTTTTATTTCTGAAATACCAGAGACATGTTTATAGATCATATTAGCATAGTTGTACAGTTATTTTGCTCTTTACTTTGTAAAAAATCCACACATATTCGAAAAACTTAAATTAATTGGCCCCAATTCTTTATTCTCAAGTGAAGACCTTATAAATAAAATATTCTGAGGTAATCAAAGACATTACAGAGTTACTGAGAATGCTGGGTCTTACTATCCACGGAAAGAACCACTGATCAATGATGCCCTTACAGGAAAAGAAAACAGCACTTCAGATCTGATTTGTCTAAAAAGTAGTAAGACCAGTAGTTATTTTGCTATAAAACCAGAACTTAATGAATAGTTTTTTACAGGACACTAATAGGAGCCTGGTAGGTGGAGGAGAGAAGAAAGGGAAAAAAGGTGGTAAAGGTGTTACATGTGCCCACTGAAACCAAAATTAGGTTCTAGAGTACACTACGTGAGAGTCTGAGTTCAGCTGTGGCATTCAACAGAGAAGTTAGTTATCAGAGAGAAAAATTGCAGTGTTATGAGGTAATGGCCAGGAATTGAGACTGGGTGGGGAGGAATTTGATTTTGAGGGAGCAGCCCTTTATACAGTAGGCTTTCCTGCCACAACTATTCTAGATTCTATGATAAAAGGAAATTTTTAACTCCCTCCATAAAATAACAAACTGTAAGATTGTCGTGTGATGTTTGGGAAAAGGTAGTAATCTAGAAAAGGTTAGTAATCTAGAAAGCTGCATTAATAATCCAGAATCATGAATTAAAATTCTACCACATCAGCTGAAAAATTTAAATTTTGTTCACTAAATCTGGAAATCTGGGAGAACAAGGATTGTATTAAAATAATGATGACCATGTAACTTCTGAAAGTAAGGCAAAAATCCATCTGGTTCATGCCGTTTTGGGGAAGAAAGCTGGCATCCTTGCCTAAGCTGGTTTTTATTTATATGCAGTTGTACAGCAAAATTTGGTTGACTCTTAACATGCCAGGCAATAATTGCTGTCTTTTATCAGTGATGACCATGACCCGTAATTGAATGAAACAAAATTATCTCCCAAAGTGATGGTTCCTCCACTCTTGATAGTGACATGCTATTTCAGGATTGTGTTGTGCCAAATAGCAATTTGTATGAGTTACGGAAAGCATGGCAGTGCATGTATAGAGCTAAAACCGTGTCATTTTGGCTGGACAAATTAGAGTACTTGTTAGAGATGAGAAGAGAGACCAGATCCTCTCTAAAAACCATAAAAACAGGAAAGCATCATCTAGAAACTTTGTTTGCTGTGCATGAATGCATAGAGGAACATTTGACCTATGCATCTAAATATTTTCATCCTGTGATTAGCCAAAACTCATCAACTATGGAGCTGCAACTAAATAAAAGATTTTGTATCTGGCAGCTACCTAGGCAGTTGAAACTAAGTGGTGAAGTAGGTTGGCCTGAATTAATACGTTGTTTAGTGTCTGCATTTTTACAGCCCTACAATTCAGCAGGGCACTAACTTGATCTTAAACTAAGTAAATGTACAACAGCATTCAGGTTCTGTGAGGATAAAATAAAAAAAACAGAGAACATTCCCTTCACTACTGCTTTGCTCACAGAATAATACTTACGTGAATGACAACGAATACCAAACAACAGATTGCATTGATTTAAATATACAAAGTCATGAGGTCTGAGATAATAACATTCTGGGTTTTATGTACCACTCTAGAACATGAGTGCACAAATCAAGGATAATGTCTAATGTAGAATTGTGGGAGAATGGTCTTTCAGATGAGACAGTAAACCAACGCCCCATTGCTGTCTTGGGCAGATATGAAAGATCCCTGTGCACAATTTTGAAGAAGAGCAGAAGAGTTACCCCAATGTTCAGTCCAGTATTTATTTATTTATTCTTCAAGCAACATTATACAAAAAAAAACACACATCTGGTCATTACCACAAAAAGAAAAGCCAGATACAACAGATATTGGACACCTGAAAGCCCAAAGTACTGGAGAAACTCAGCAGATCTGGCAGTATCAGTGGACAAGGACACTCAGGTCCTGAGAGACAGAGAGTTGACAAGTTTGAGTCCAGTCATATTGGACTCAACATTAACTTTGTTTCTCTTTCCACAGATACTGTGAGTTCTCTCAGGTTTCTCCAGCACTTTGTTTTCATTTCTGGTCTTTATCACATTGTTATTTGTGGGACCCTGCTATGCGTAAACTAGATTCCGTGTTTTCCTGCATTATAACAGACTGTATTTCAAAAATACTTCGGTGACAGTGGGCATCAGTGGCTAGACCAGTGTATATTGCCCCTCCTTTATCAAACACTGCTCTAAGAATAACCACAGCTTCCCTAGTCACTCCACATATCTGAAGTTTGGCACAAGAATTAAAACAATCTGGTAAATCTGCTCTGCATATTCCTCAGGACCTTGGTATGCTTTTTAAATTGTGGTGGCCAGAATTGAAAGGAGGGACCTAACCAGAAATTTAAATTCTAAACATAACTTCTCTGCTTTTGTACTCAATGTCTGTTTTAATCAAATGCAAGCAGCCTGTATATTAAAGAACCTTCTGAAATTGTCCTGACACCTTCACAGATTTCGATGTAGAAACTTCAATATCTCTGTTCCTACACTCCCGTCAAAATTTTATGTGGTCTCTTTGGTAGTTTTTCAAAATGTATTGCTTCATAATTTTCTGCACGTTTTTGTTTTGCCATCTTTCTGCTTATTTCACCAGTCTAAACATTTCTGAAATCTGTTAAAATTTTTATGTTCTACTACTTTTCCCTGTCTCATATCATCTGCAATCTTTCAATCATGCCCTGTTACCTTGGTCCATGTATAGATCAAAAGGAACAGGGACCTGATACTGACCTCTGACACCTGGGGATGCACCACTCTGTATTTTATTCTAGCTTGAAAACATACTGTTGTCCCTAAGCCAGTCTAAGAAGATGAGATGAATAATATAAAATTATGGTGGAATTAGGAGAAAGATTTGAGGAACTTGCATGATAAAGGTACCTTGTACTTATTGGACAGAACGAACTACTAGTTTCTCTTTTAACTGCTGTAGGAAAGTAGGATCAAAATCATTTGGAAGTTTACAGTGGATAATGGTTGGCACAAGTGTGGCCAAAAATTGCAACAACCATTATTGACGATTGCAAAATCTTATGCAAGATTTTTAACATGATATAGGCACATAAATAAATAAGAACATGGTCATTAAAGTACTTGTACAAATGACATTTTTATCATATGGAGGCAGTGATGACAGATGTTGCACCCATGGTTCTTGGTTGATACTAAGATCACAAAAAAGCTCCATAATTTGTGCTGTATTCCAAGGAGAAAAATGAATATTTGATTGTACACTTGTTGCCCTACTAAAATTGATTGCATTTGTGTAGCCTAGATTATGTGTTATACTATCTTGTGCCATATTATGAGCTTGAAAGGACTTTCCCATTAGATTGTATTTCTAAGTTGTATAGGAAACAGCTAATAACGACTAAAATAATTTGGCTTTCATTTTTCTTCTTCACAGGAAAGAACCGCTACAGGACAGTATAATAGCAACATATGAAGAGCATGAAGATAGTGTCTATGCTGTTGAATGGTCCTCTGCTGATCCGTGGTTATTTGCATCTTTAAGTTATGATGGAAGACTGGTGATAAACCGGGTACCACGAGCATTAAAATACAGTATTTTGTTGTAATTTTGTAGCAAAGAGGCCCTTTTGGGCGAGGATGGGGGGGCGGTGATCATTCTGATTTGCTTCAGGCAGGGCAAAGCCCTTGGTACGTGGTAGACCTAGAAGTCTGGGTTTCTCTGTATGTTGTGAAATGTTAACACCACAGCATATGTCTTTTCGATGTTGACTTGTTCCACACTTAGAAGTCAGGCCTGGCTTCCTATTGAGCAGATTGCTCTCTGGAGAAATTCAAATGGGCCAGGTGGATCCAGTCCATGATCCTGGAGTGAGTAGGAGTCTGATTCATGACCCTTAGGGAAGGATCCAACCAAGATCACAGGATTGCTAGCTTAGGTAGGTATTGGAGAAAGGATTCCAGTGAAGGTACTTGTCTTTTCCCTGAGATTATTCTTCCTTTGCTGCAACTGCTGCCACTGCCAGTCCTGCTCAGGTTGGCAACAGTTAAACTTGCAAAGCAGAATAGATACAGAGCTTCCTACCTCAATGTCTACAAGATGCCACTCCACCTCCTGGGAGTGGGTTGATTGCCTGCCATTTGATCCATGGTTGCCCACCCATTGTTTTGCTTCAGCAAAACTGAAAAGTTGATGGGTAGGAACCAACTTCCCAACACATTTGTGTTTTTTGTCTGTTTAATTCCCCACTTGTGGTCAATCCAACCTGTTCACTAATGTTGAAATTTCCCCACTATTTTCTTGATCTTGATTTACTTTTGTACAATTTCTGTTATATGAAACTCCGAATAAAAATTGGCATTAAGTGACATAATTCGTCTTCAAGCGTATGCAACAATTGTCTTAGAAAATGTGTTCCAAAGATTTCTGTGATATCAGTAATTTCATCTATTCATAAAAATATGAATTTTTCTGGTTCATGTTCAGCATCTTTTACAAACCATGCAAACTTTGTGCTTTCATGGGCTTTACACAACATATTTAATCTCCTGGTAAATGGTCTGGCATGTTTCTATCCATCCCCAGAATTGCTCAGGGTGTAGTCAGTCGATGTTTCAGGTGCCACTCAAAGTACCATTTTGCCATGAACTGGCCAAAATGGTATAATAAACTGTCAAAGCCAAACATGAAATGGAGGATTGAGGAAGGAAGATGGAGATACAGATCAAAGAGATGCCATTGTATCGCTTGCAAGTTTCAGCCCAGTAATGAATGTGTTGCTGGGCACAGTCTTTCAATTGTACAGTATTGGCCAGTGGATGCAAATCTATGTGTCAAATGGACTGACTAGAATGCTTCCTAGATTGAGACAAAAGAGAATCTGGACAAAGTTAAGGAATTTGAGAGTTCTACCAGTTTCATGTTTGATGATGATCTAAAATCTTTGAAAGGAGTAGTTATTCCCTGTAATATCGCTGGAATCAATCATTTTCTTATCATGCTTGTAGTGTTCAATGAAATACCCTTGTTATCAGAAGACCATTGATGAAGAAAGCACAAATGAAGCTGTATATGGAAAATGACACAAAAATGTTGTATTTGAATATCTGTTAATTAGCAGTTTCCAAAATGTGGACATTATTGTATTTATGCAATGAAACATAACCTCTCCACTGAAGGAATTAACGTAGTGTTATTGATATCGGAGGTAGGAATTTAGAAGGTGAAGTCAATTGTATTAACATTCCATAGGCAATTTGCTCACCCATCTTCTAAAAAAAATTAAAACTTTTAATAGATGATGCAGGAATAAGGGATCTGTGAGAACGATAAGCTCGTAAAAGAGATAAGTTATAGATGTGAGGTTAAGAAGTATTGAAGAACACCACAATTTATAGTTTGTGGATAAGGTCATTGAAAACTGGAGAGGAACTGGACTTGGATCACTGGCAGAACTTCTCTTTAATAATGCAGGGAATTTGCTAATGATGAATTCAGAGGTATGTGTGTAAGTATGAATGTAATAGATATGAACATGGCAGCAGAAAGCCTTTTAGCAATGGAGAATGTGAAAAGAACCGTGCAGTAATAGACAAAATGTTTGGTAAAATTTTGGCAGATCAGCCATCTGTAAATTATTAACTGCACAAGTGTGTGCTATACAGGCTAAGAATTTGCTGCAAATATTGGAAGGATATAGTCTCTATCAGTTAATTTTTGATGGGAATTCTAAAGTTCGGTACTAAGTGATCAGCTTCCAGCTTGGGAAGGGGCTACAAAATTAGTTAAACTTTTCAGATAATTTGAATGTATTGCATACAGGCAGAAAGGCTTTCATTATAGCTGAAGTTTCAAAGAATGCAGCTAACATTAAGGTAATGTAAGGCTATTAGAAACCGGTTTCAATGCAGGAAATATAGTTTTTTGCAAGAGAGGGACTTAAAGTACAGACACTCCAGGGGAAAGTTATTGACAAAGTTGGGAAAATCTGTTCAAGATTGCTTGGTATGGATTACAAATTTGCAGATTAAGGGAGTTATGAAAAAAGATTGACCATGAACAAACTGGAAGACAGGTTAATTCAAAATGCCAAACAACAAGAATTACAAAACTGGAGGAAATTTGGGGTGTACACAGTGTAGGGACATCTAAACCAATTGCACTGATGGATGTACACAAAAAAAGACCCAACAAGGGCTGTGAAACCAGGCTAATGGCGCAATGTTTTGAAGCAAATCTGGGTGGTCAGCATATAAGGGCAAATTTACTGACAGCAGAAAAAGCAATTCTGTTTTTTTTTGCAACAAGTGTTTGCAAGAGTAGATCAGTCGACATTAGAGCTCCATTTCTGCAGGGAAATCAGCGTAAATGTTTCTTCAATCTCTGAAAGAGGTACCAAATGCAGTGAGGATAATCTGTAAATTAAATAAATGTGTATGTGATTTAATTGATTCCTCTAGGGTTTGGTAATTCTCGCAGTAAGGTCTGATTTATTAAAAGCTGATCCTGCCTGATTTACTGGCATCCTTGTGATGCACATTGTTTTTTGTGAGGAGTGAATTTGAAAACATTTCATAAATATGTTTAAAACAAACTTCATACTTGGAAGTCAGGTTTTTGGGTCCTTGAAGTACATTGGGTTGGAAATCAGAGAGAAGGGATCAAGTGTCACTTTGCAGCAATCTAATTTGGAAAATATTAGCCTCATTTCTATTAATCAAAGTAGGGCTTCACCAAAAGATGCAGGGGCTTCCAAAAGGAATATAGAGGAATTGTGAAGTATGATTGGACAGCTAAATTGGCTGTGCACCTAGACAAGGCTAGATGTTAGTTTTGAAGTATTAGAGTTAAGTACAACTATGAAAAATCCCAATGTAGAAGATATTATTTGAGCGAACAAAAAATTAAAGCATTTTAAAGTGGAGCACTATGTTTTGAAATTTATTTTATTAGGAGCTATCAGGAACATGAAAATTGCCATTTTCAGTATGCAGATCTCTGGTCTCTCTGTTGGAGAATAATAATTTTTCTTGTGGTAAAGATAGATGTTGGATTCTACATTGAGAATCTAAATAAAAAGCAACGTAGTCAAACGCTCTTGAAGAAGTGGTGGAAATGACATTTTTCTTAGTGAAAATACTAAAGAAATTCGGCAGCAATGCTACATCTATGTTAAGTCACCATTGGTGAATGTATGCTCAATGAAATGTGTGAATGAAAAGAGATTGAGGATTGACATTGCAGTTCTAAACCAGATGGTAGAGAATGGAGAGATCTCCAAATTGAAGTGGGTGGATAGCAGCAGTCAGCTATAATTGTTTTGAAAAGAAAACAGTAAATTCTACAAAACTGTTGAACATATTTGAAAAAAAGGATGCTTGGAACTTTAATGTGAAAAAAATGTATTCTGCTGTCATTTTATCTTTTTTATTGTTGGTTGATTTAACAAAATAAAGGATATTTGTTACTATCTAATAGGTTGTGAAGAAATGCGTGAGATGTTATAGAATGTTGGAACAGGTGGTGATATTAATTAATGGTTAATTTGGTTTGAATTGATTGTACAAAAATGGGGAGTTAGTATTCGGAGGACTCAATGTTTTATGGAGTGTGGCTAACTGAAAGCTGTCACGTAAAAGTGTGAATTCTATTCCAATACCATTATCTTTGAGTATAAGAAGTGTTCTGAGGTAAAACAGGCCTGGATATTAACATGGATGGATTGGGTTGAGAAGGGGTGGAGCTTTGCATAAGAAACCTGGCAGTCTGAGTCTTCCTGCACCACTTTGTTAATAGATTCTCTGGCTGGAAGTCATCCTCATTGACCATTTTGGCTTCCAATTGTAGGAGGATGATTGTAAGGCAGCACATGAGAGTAGGTAGGTTTGATTCCTGAAGGCAGTGAATGGAGTCTGAAATAACTGGATCCAAATCAAAGCTTGTGATTGGGATAACCAAGCAAGACTACAGTGTGAATGGGTAAGGCAGCAACCAAGGTTTTTGATTGTGGTCTCGATCTTTGACATTTGTGGAACATTGCTGGCAAACCATAGCGTTGGGAACAAATTTAATTGTTCAAAATTCTGGCCTGGTTGAATCCCTCTTCCTCATCCACTAGTGTGCCTCGTTTCTAGGGTTTCCCTCTTGAATGACATTGTGGATCAACCCATAGCATGTGGACTGCTGTGGTTCAAGAAAGCAGTTCACCATCACTTTCTTAAGGGCAACTAGGGACAGGCAATAAACAGTGACACTCACATCCCATGAGCAAATGAAAAAAACCTAGTGCTTATCTGGAAAATTGAGCAAATTGTGTCCCTCGTTCCCTCAAAATGGTTCCTGGTTTACAGAAGCAGTCTTCCCTGCTAATCCATTCCAGTTCACAGGAATGGACGTCACCATTGAAACCATGTAACCAAGACTCATTGGCCTCTAAACCCATTCTGCCAATTCAGATATATTCTTGATTTACTAGTCCCAAAGATCAAAGCAATTGAACAATCTAACAGACATCAAAGAAAGGCAAAACCTACTAACTGCAATTGAATTAGAGCCCCAAACATCAGGATATCTCAACCATCTCAAAATACATTGAACATGGACTGAAGTACAAGTGAATAATATCATCTTTTATATTAAAGATACAATGTAAACAAGCATCCCAAGGGACTTCACAGGAGCACAAAAAAATCTGTAACTGATAGGAAGTGATATTAGGCCTGTTGATCCGAAAAGCTAGCTCTTTTGACCAACCTTTAAGGAGTAGAGAGGTAATTGCTTGTGGCAACTAATGGAGCAATTAAAAATTGGGGTGCACAATTATAATTAGAAGAGCATAGTGATTTTTGAGGGTTATGAAAATGGAGACAGAGCTGAAATAATGGAAGGATTTGAGTACAAGGATGCAATGTTTAATATCAAGGTGTGCTTCATTGGTAACCTATGTAAGTCAGCGAACAGAGAGAGACAATAAATGAATGGGATTTACTGCAAGTTAAGAAACAGACAGCAGAGTTTTAGATTACCTCAGGTTTATGAAAGGTAGAATGTGGGATATAAGCCAGAGGAGCATTGGAATAATTGAACCTAAAAGTAACTCATGCATAAATGGGGTTTTCATAGCTAATAACCTGAAAAAGATGAAGTTGGATAGTGCTACAGAGATGGAAATAAGTGATTGCAGTGATGGCACAAATAAAAGGTTGGATACTCATCTATGGACCAAATGTGACACCAAGATTGAGAACAGAAGTGTTTAATCTCAGACTGTTGGTAGGAAAAGCTATGAAGTCAGCAAGTGAGGAATTGAGTCTATACTGTGTGGAGCTGGAGGAACACTGGATGTCAGGCAGCATCAGAGGAGCAGGAAAGTTG